GGGGGTGCGGGCGGCGGGGGTTTGGGCCAAAAACACTTTTCCAGCAGCAAAGGTTGCCCTGGGCAGAAGGTGGGGGCCACGAGATTGAGCTGGCCCGAAGGGGAGTTCATCCTGAGTTCAAGCCTGGGTTTAAAAAATAAATACTTAATCATATTTTCACTTCCCACACCAAAACTCTACACAAATTTATCCCCTCATATCTCATGTGAATAGTTGTTGCCATGGCAATTGGTGGAAACACCACAACCTTTTGCAAAGGCAGCCACTATTCACATGAATAGTAGCTGCCCTAGCTCCCCCAGCCATGGCGTTGGAAGTGCTCCGAAACACTACCTACGCTGCTTTGTGAGGGACCAAGTAAGAAAGAAAACCAACAAACAAATTAAAAGACATAAAACCAGGCCCCAATGACTAACAACGAAGTTTCTGTGAAACACAAGCGTAAAAGATGGGAAAGAAATAACAGGAAAGTTAGGCACATAAAGAAATCATACTAAAAATATTAAAGAGGTCTATCCCGACAAATTTTTGTCAGTTACAGAAAAAATTTGGCTGGAATAAATCTATCCTGATGCATTATTGTCGTCATAGAATAGACCAATTTCATCATTGACTAAGGTGTAATGACTCATTTTGCCCCTTGCTGTAAACTTTATTCAAAAATTTATGGCTTTTTATCACAAATGGTCCTTAACGTTTAAGATTTTATCACGAATGGTCCTTGAGATTTTTTGTGACACTAATAGTCCTTAACGTTAGAGCTTTTTATCACAAATGGTCCCTCCGTTAAAAATTCTGTTAAGTGTCTGATGTGGAAGACAAGTGGAGCCCATATTCCAATCACATTGTGACATGTGGATGGAAAAATAATTAAATAAATTTTTTATATGAAAATTCCTTTTTTTTTTCTACAACTTTTCATCCCCCTTCCTCTACTCCATCTCTCTCCCCCTCTGCCCTCGCTCTCCATCCTCTGCCCCCTCTCTCCCCCTCTGCTCTCCCTCTCTCCCCCCTGTCCTCTCCTTCTCCCTCTGTAAAAATAATAATATAAACTATATATCTTTCTCCATCTTTGTATAGTGGTATATAAATCATAACTCACAATCCCCATTTGTTTTTTTCTTGCCCATTGCCTGCCACCTGCAAGAAAAAATTGTCTTTGGGATTCTTTTATTAGTCTCTGTTTTTTTAACACAGCCACCCGCAAGCCGCAACCCACGCCCAACTCCCCTACCCTCTCCCACTGTATTTTCTCTCCTCCTCTACTCTACCCCTCTGTTTTTAATTATTTTAAGTTGTTTGAAAAAATATTTGCGTAAAAGGAAATGTGAAACTACCTTGTGCAAGTGATTATGCAAAATATACAGAGGGAGAGGGGTGGGTTGCGGGTGGGTGGGCATGCGGGCTGTAGAGGCAAGGAAAAAACAACAGAGGGAGAGGGAGAGCACAGGGAGGAGAGAGGGCAGAGGGGAGGGGGAGAGAGACAGAGAGAGTGGATTTTCATAAAAAATATATATATATTATTTCTTTATTTATTTAATCCACATGATGTGATTGGACATGTGGGCTCCACTTATTACACTTAACAAAATTTTTAACGGAGGGACCATTTGTGATAAAAAGCACTAACGTTAAGGACTATTAGTGTCACAAAAAAACCTCAAGGACCATTCGTGATAAAATCGTAAACTTTAAGGACCATTTGTGATAAAAAGCCAAAATTTATTAACTTTGATAATGCGGTAGGAATGTTTTTATAATTTTGTACATATGGATTAGTATTCACCCATTAGGTGAGTGACGTGGCAAGTGGAGGCACCTCCAACCCCTAAAGTCAATCAGCCCCAACCGATCACTTGCACGGTTGCACCCCAACCCCGAGAATTATTGAGCCACCCAAACAACCACCGCTGTTCAGCTGCTAGATTTACTCAGCCCACCCAAAACAAAATTCTACAGGGTTAGGTAGGCTTTTGGTTAAATTTTAGATTATCATCGTTTAAGAAAAATTTCAAAACACAAATAATTTCGCTTAAAGAGATAAATTCGTAAATTAATAGTTATTTAAATAAACATAAAAAATAAAACGAAAATAAGAGAATAATGTGCCATTAAATTCTCCAGAGATTTAAAAAAAAGGCAAAAAAAAACCTACTGTGTTGTAACGAATCGGAAATCACTCCAAGAAAAAAACAGAAAAAAGAAGCAAGACGTCTCTAGAATCGAAGAACATGGAAGAAGCAAGCAATCAAAACATAAATGATCTCCCAGAGGAGCTCCTCCTCCACATCCTCACCTTCCTTCCCACATTAGATTCCATCCAAACCTCTCTCATATCCCAGAAATGGCGACCACTCTGGTCTCGTGTTCCCTCCTTGAACTTACCTTTTGAGCTCTTCCCTTCATACGAGCCACCCTTGGATACCCGCCAATTCTTCGCCGAATTCATCGATCGCGTTCTCATTCTTCGCTCCAATTCTCCCATCCACACTTTCCGCCTCTCCTTCATCTATCATGATCACTACGGCTCCCATGTTGACTCCTGGGTTCGCTCCGCCATAACCCACCTCCACGCCCGTGAGCTCCATCTCGACTTCTTCATCCACAAAGACTTTCATGACGAGGAAACCCTAAATCACAAGTATGATTTCCCTTTCTCTGTTCTGAGAAATGGGTATGTTGAAAACTTATGCGTTACGCGATGTGATCTTACATTGCCGGCCAAAATGTCCACTATGCGTTTTTGCTCGATTGGGTCCATGTATCTCGATCAGGTTTATTTGACGGACCAGATAATGAGTGATTTGATTTTGGGTTGCCCCAATTTGGAGGCTTTGGAGCTTCAAAACTGTTGGGGGCATCATCATTTGAAGATATGTAGCACAAGGCTTCAGAAGCTAGTACTTGGGTATTTTTATGATTCTGAACTCCAAGAGACGCTTGTGATTGATTGCCCAAACCTTTTTTCAATCAGTTTTGATTGCTGTGCCTTTGACAAGTTTGTACTTAAGAATGCGTCGTCCCTGGTTGAGTTTCATGTTGATATTGTGCACCTAATCGATGGGTCCTATTGTTATTGGAGCAAGGTTGTGAGGCTACTACTACAAGCACCTAATGTTAAGCATCTTAATGTGCAAAATTGGTGGTTTAAGGTAATTTTCTTGACCTGTGTTCTGATCAATCATTGTTTACTGTATGATGATTTTGTTTGACTTTTAAGTTTTTTCATTATTTTTTGTACGTGGGAATTATGCCAGAAGTTTGAGGAATATGCAACAATGTGATTAGGGTTCTGATGATGTGATTTAGGGATATGCAGAAGTCTGGTCCTTTAAATTATCAATCTTGTAGATATAGCTGTGTGTATTTTTGAATGATACTGTATTTTCTAGTAGTTGAAATAGCTAACAACATGAGAGAAAGTAAGGCTTTTCAGCTTTTCATTGAAGTTGAAAGCTTGTCATTGAGTCTTGTAGTCGAAAGAAAGATGGGGAAAGGATAATTAGCTGTTGAGGTCTGCTCATTTTTTCAAGCCTTAGGCTTAGACAGAGGAAATGATCAGTGCCTAGTTTATACAAATTGGTCATCGATTGGTCTCCCAGGAAAGAAGTGGTCGAGGGACTGAATAGTAAAGGAAAATAGCATAGTTGCTTGTGGACTGTAGTATGTTCGATCACTAACCATGGGGACAATTTAGTGCAAAAATGCATTTCCTGTGCCAATATTTTTGTTTTGTTTTGTTTTTCAAATAAAGGAAGGCTAGTATTCAGTAAGGATTAAAACTGGATATACTGCATTTTACATAGCTGCAGCTTGCTTGTAGTGCAATAAGTTGCTAAACTTTCATAATCGGTAGATTTCTCATTCAGACAGGTATAAATGCGATCTTGTAACTTAATGACATTTTACAAAATTGTTTTGAGAAAATCAGCTACCAAGAAAAAGTCATGTCTGTTTTTTCTTATCTGAAAAGACAAAAACAAGTTCTTCCTTGATGATCGCTCGTTCTAAGAAGCAGGATTAATTGATGATTAACCATGCCATTGTGCTGACTTGTCTCACCTTGATGTTGTGGCTTCAAGGGTATCCCTGGGAGCTCTTATCATAGAAGAGTCTCACTGGAAATGAAATCTGGTAGCGTGTCTCAGTGACCAGCCATGTGTGTCTGTGCTAGACACGCTTTCACTTCCTAACTCTGTCAAACTCAGTGACATGCAACATTTTATTCATAGATGGCCAATCTCTTTGGCTTAACCTCTGTGAACTCAGAGATTTTCAAATTTGACATTTTACTTGTCAACCTTTTTTTGCTTTTTTCACTTTGTATGAGCACTGGTTTCTAGAGGTATTATGTAATTGAACATCTTCTAATATTGATAGTTGTTTTCTGTGCATATGCCCTCAGTTTCTGACCTCAAAGGATCCTTTCCCCAAAAGTTTTATGCTCCACAATCTCAACCTCCTAGAGTTGAGAACGGGATT